TTTAGGCAGCAACCAGGTTTCTCACGCATACGTTAACACAAGAAGTACCGTTGAGTCGAAAAAGTGGACACAGAGTCGGCTCTTCTTTGTTCTCTTCACTACATCCTCGATGCACTTGAAAGCTCCCGAACCGCTCGTTTTCTCCTGCTCAACTCTGAAGCTAAGTCGCTTAACACGTTGACTTCCCAAGCTAGATAGACATAATTGGGGCATTAGAAGATAATCGTTCCGTTGAGCGCGAGTGGGGCATAGGAAACCAATCCGTTCCTCATGGACATCGTTTTTGTGAGACCCAGCCGTTAAACAAGTCTTCCCACTTTTGCTCAGCAAACACGAGGTGCTCTTCCACTTCCCCACTTACGTAAAAGCTGACGTTTCGGCGAATTTCGCCTTCCTTAGAGCCTGGAAAGGTCACGTTGACAGCAACCTATTCGGCCAAACACCTTCACAACCAAACAGAAAAAACGCTAAACCAAGATTTCAATCACATTTAGCATAGCTCTGCACACTCACCGCTTTCTATGAGTGGACATCCACTGAGTATGTCGTGTGAAGACCAACCGCACAGAAATGACATGGAAGTATAATGTGCCCCTCCCATCAGAATAGAAGTCTTATATACTGCCCTATATCACGCGTGATAATGAGGCATTCTTCCCTGCGGTTCATTTTCAGATTTCTGGAATTAATCCAGAACGCCTCCAGAGTTTTGCGCGCTTGTGTTCTTGATTCCAGCGCGAGGATCGTGACACGTACTTCAAAGTCCTCCCCGTTATGTCTTTGGGTACTATGCGTGCCTAGCGGTGTATTTGGTTTATGTTTTCCGGCTAGGTGTTCTTTTATGCGGACACAGAGGGGTCTGCCCGTTTCGCCAATGTATTCGTCACCACACGTCTTACAGGAGATCAGATAAACTATACCCGAGCTCATGCAATCACCGTCTTTACCATTGAGGCAAATTATGCAATTTTCCGTTGCACATAGATGGTCATACAGTCGGTTACAAACTAGCTGGCGCCTAAGATTACTCGGTAGCATTTCAACTACGTTTACCGAATTCTCTAGACCCGCCCTTCTTAAGCAGCATTTCATAGCTGCACTTACATCATTTGAGATGAAGGGTAGAATAATAACAATAATAATAATAAGTGTTAATCTTATAATGTTAATAGAAAGTCGGACGTGTGAGTTACTCAGCCAACGATCAACTTTTCTGCAGGCTTTATCCAAGTCGGTAAGCATTCGTTTCTCTTCGTTAATGATTGGTGTTATAAGAACGATGTCATCAGTAAAGCGAAGATGGTGTAACTGCCGATCATCGAGTTTCGCTCGCGCGTTGTGTCATTCCAATTTTCGCATGACCTTCTTGAGGGTGGCGGTAAATAATTTTGGCGAGATGGTGTCGCCTTGCCGAATCCCTTTCTTGACGTCGATGCTAACATCGTTGTAAAGATCTTGGCCGTGAAGTTTTTGTACAGCTCTCATATACAGTAGGGACTTTCTGACTCTAGAGGGCTTCCATGACCACTTCTATATCAGTTGAGCCAAAGGCCTTCTTTAAATCGATTAAAGTGAAGTAGAGCAGTCTTTTGTACTTTCGCGATACTTCAATGAGCCTTGTTATCGTGTGGATGTGGTTCATCGTACTAAATCCTTTTCGAAGCCCTGCTTGCTCACATGGCTGTCGTTCGTCTAGTGTTCTGTCAATCCTGTTTAGGATGACTCGAGTGAAAAGTTTGTAGACGACAGACAACAAGTAGATGGCGCGATAGTTGCTGATATCGTGTAGGTCACCTTATAGTAACTTTTCTTAAATAGTTCCTATTTCTATGTCACCTTATGTCTTCTACAACACCTGTCTATCTGTAATCGCCATACATCTATTCTTGCATATTCTGTAGATCGTCTCTTAGCAAGCATTTCATGCAATTGCCTCGCAGGTGGTTGGAAAGGGAATCAGCAGCAGTCAGCTGTATGTACTTTTCAGCAACTGTCGTCCCAAAAAATCTCCGAACAAACACCTGCACCCTTCCACAAGTAGCCCTATCAAATTGTGCTAGTAGAAAAACTATTGGAACCTCTCTCTGGGCTTCTCTGGCAGTTCTCTCTGGCAAAGCTCCACCCACTACAGAACTAATACAGGCAGCCCATAGGACTCGTCCTGAAGTGTTAGCCGCGTTCGTCCGGTCTTCTTCCGGTCCCTCAATTCCTCAGTGCTCCAACTCCAGTGTCCGCCTTGCTTCCTTCAAGTGTATCACTTGTTCCCATTTCAATCTCGCTCTTATCCACCCATCTTACATATCTTCAAATATCACACATTATTATTGTATCGTTATTGTTGCTATAAACTGTTATATCCAAACTCGAAGTTGTTCAAAACACTTACGGAGAAAAGTCCCGCGTGGCGATTTCATACAAAGTCGAGCATTCCACGTACAGTTGGCGGACAAAAGACCAATCCGACCAACTCCCTAATCCACTGGCCAACTAACACACACCTTTCATGAACAATAGCACGGTCTTGCTGGTCTTCCATTAAGTATGGACCTTGCATTCAGAAAGGTAACGTGTGAAAAGCCGAGGCAATATGTTGATGATTAGTCGCGGAAGGTTTTCCATGGGTTCAGATCTTTTCCTGTGCGGAACTAGTGTTGTTAGACTTTTCACCGATAGAATAGCATGTCGAATTTCGGATGGGAAAACAGGTGGGACGCCATAGACGACATAATGCTTTATTTCATATGACGCAAAGGTGACGTGGATCGAAGTGGAATCGGCTGGGCTTTGTGATTGGGGAAGCTTCTGTGATCTTAGCAATTTTTTCCCCGCCTCTGCAGTTTCAACCATTGCTGCTGCTCTACTATCTTTATGATCTTCTTTTATTGTCTGTCTGCACGGCTTTGCAAGTTCGGACGCTAGCTGGCGGTTGCTTGCAGCTCGTGCTTTATTTAATATGAGGGAAGGATGACGTGGCTATTGAAGAGATCAGAGTGGAAGATGCACCTGTTCTGTCTAAACGTCGCAGTGCAACCGTCTTGGCTTAGGAAGCTTTGATGAGATTAGCGAATGCTTTTTCCAGTCTCTGCAGCTTCGACCATAACTGCCGCTCTCCTCTCTTAAAGACTTTTTTGATCACGTGTCTGTATTGTTTTGCAAGTTCGGACGTTAGTTCGCGGTTGCCTGCAGCTCGTGCGATTCCACGCTGGCGTATCAGCTCGAGTGTTTCCGGAGACTGACGTCTCTTGATGACTTTCGAATCTTGAGCTTTCATTGCGCTACCGTGAAGATGTTGAATGAGCCGATCATATTCCTCGTCGATGATATCGAGAACGGCATCTTTCCAACAGCCGACTAATGACTTGAATAAGCTCCAATTTATAGTGGTTTTGGCACCTCTCTTTTTTTGAATTTAGCGGCTTTTTCTCCTTTCAGAGAAACATGAACTCTTGCCCGAAGGAGGTGATGGTCTTATCCTGTGTAGAATTTTGAGGCAACAGCGAAATCGGTAAGGCAAAACCTTCGATTTACTGTGATGTGGTTTATTTCATTATGGTACTCTGTTTCACTTCCAGCGTTGAGGGTGAGGTGCTCTAATTGGGAGTTACCATGGATGCTCTTGGTCGTCGTGATAAACTCAGCTTATCCTGCTCGTTCCATTCTAATCCACGGGTCCCAATTTGACGTTTTCAGACGTTCTTCTTGGCCCAATCTTAGCGTAAAGATCTCTAATGATTACCTTAAAGAATGTATGGTCTTCTCTGTAGAATTTCTCCAAGTTTAAATAGAATGCTCCGACTTCTTCTTCGTCGTAGTTTGATGTCGGCGCGTAAACAACGAAGATGGTCAAAGCCGGTTTTGATCGATATCTCTTTTATCGTAAATGTCCGATTCGGGTTATTAGTTGTTCGGATGATTAGATATTTATTGTCAAACTCGTGTTGACGAGAATGCCGGCGCCGCAGAATCCTCTGCTGTCACATTTTCCGAGGAACAGTTCTTCTCCGGTGTCATAGACCGCGTTGAATGAGTATCGTCGTCTCATCTCGGCCAGGCCGATGACTTTGTACCTTATTCTTCTTACTTGCATGTCCAAGTCTTCTATCGAGGACTCAGATGCAGGTGTGGGTGTCGTGCTACGGATCATCGCGACTAGCCTGCTCGAGATCCCTCATGTGACGGAAATCCATGACCGCAGTCGGTTACAAGTGGAAACTATCCATGGAGCACAAATATTCGCTGGACCATGTTAAGATAAAGCTTAGCTATAACCTTTAAACTGAAGGGTTTTTGTTAACACCGAAAGTCCAAAGATGAATTGATGGAAGGTAAGTATGTCGCACAATTACACCCGCGCTCATCCTTATTTCAGGTGAATTTTTGATATGTGAAAGGCATACTCCTCGTTTGACGTGAACCTGAATTTCCTTACTAACCAAATCAGCAACAGAAGAATTGGCAGGTGTTTTAAATAAGTTCTTCCCATGTGATTGTACTCTAGGATTTCAGTTTTTCCGTTAGGGTCATAATATTTTACAGCGTACGCTGTTTTTGAATATGAGCCATTCTTTGTTTTAAAGGGATCAAAACCCGCTAGAACTTCAGTCATTGTGAAAAAAATATTATACAACATTAACGCCGGCTGATCAAAACACGGTAACTTATAGAATTTGAGCGTATAGAGTGGTGGTGCAATCAGTTGATGTGAATGTTCAGGTTCCAGTCAAGAAGCTGATTTTTGAAGAGGCTTGTTCTGTGGCTTTTTGCATTAAACAAATGAACATAATTTGCTACAAAAGTGGCCAATTCATTCAAAAAGCTACTGAACCCGGTTAATGAATTTTTCGTGACAGAGTTCAGAAAAGAAAAAACATAAACAACATAAAATATACATAAATAGCACAAGGTAATGTCTGCGCAGCCAAGATAGAATTGTGATAAGCACTGATAAAATACTCAGAGTTTGTACAGATATGAGTTGAACAGCAATATCGACTGTGCTATTAGCTACCACTGATCTTTTTCTTGATGTCTTTCAGAATATCCATCAACAGATCGACGGTTTGCGGTCCAACGGCATCATCGTGATGTGCTTCGGCCGACAATTGTTGCCGTTTCTAAAAATCAGAAATCTATACACATTATGTTAACTTTTCATTTGCTTCCTTCTACATTTTTTTACGCAGAATATTATGCGAAATACAACCACAATGGTGCTGAGATATTTGCAAAACTCCGGACCGCCGGTGTCCGCGGTGGGGACTGAACACGTTATTTCCCTTTCCGGGAGATAACGCGCTCAACACTAATGCTTGCGGGTCTTTCGCTTCACCTCTCTCTCAGCTAGCTCTCTACTCATTGTTTACTCTTTAAAAATGCGATAAGCTAGTAGTGCAAAACTTTCAACAAAAACCTTTTTATAAGCTTTTCTTCTGAGCATTCTTGTTAAAAAACAAAAAAAATGGTGTACTTGCAAACACAGATCGACAAAATCTGTATTATCAGAAGAATAATTCGAAAGAATTTTAAGAAATTTTTTTAAACTGAATCACAAAATTTACGAATTTTCAAAAAACCGCATAGGTGGAGGTTCGTAAAGAGTCAGGTGTTTGCTGATACGTTACTCATTCAGCTCTGGTTTTTGACTTGGTGACACTTTTCCCACTGGAGTTCTGCAAAATCGTGAACAGGATCAAGCAGACGTCCACCTTCGTTAATTGTGGAGCCTCCCACTTTTACGGTTAAGTTTCCACTAGCCTTACGGTTACTTAACGAAGGTGCCTCTGTCTGATGATAAGAGGATCCCATCAGAGTTAAGGTGTGACACACAACATCACTCCAAACTGAACTGAAGTAAATCACTGGATAAAGATTCAAAGTGAAGATCACGGAACTTGCACCCAGGTGTTAATGGCTAATATGTGAGAAGCAGTCGTTGAGCAAATTACTTTTAGAAAAGGTGGCTTCGTCATTCTCGGTAAATACTTTTCGGCTTATGGAATTTCTGGAATGTAATTTCGGAACGTGATTGTAGTGACTTAGTCTGGTAAAAATGCGAACCTCATGACTCCGAAATCTCTTCTTCAAGCAGCAGATGTCCGGAGCGCATTGCTCGTACTGCGGAAGGCAAACACATGGTAGTGGTAGTACTCCGACAGATACACAAGGAGTAGTTAGAGGGTATTGTGTTGGAACTGAATCAACAACTTCTAGATCGATAGTGAGGGAAAGAAAGACGTTTTTCTCTCAACGAAGCCATTGAAAAAGAAGGATCCAGAGGCTTCCTTGGATTTTTAGAAAGTTGCTGAATTTTCTTAATTAATCTTCTTAATAGTAACACCTCGCGTTTGCTCAACAAAAATACGAAGAAAATCACTTGATCAATGCCGAGGTTAATAGAAAGTCGGTCGTGGCAGTTACTTAATTAAGATGTCAAAAAACTTTCATGAATACCGGAAAAAATTCCAGGATCTTGTTTCGGACTGTTACAAAATATCATTGTTCAATTTCATTGATATCTATTAATTTTCGATTAAATCAAAAATACTCGTGAATCCTCAGTCATACAGACCGCTTCAGCTTAAAGAATGACAGACTAAGATTTTGCCGTAAATTAATTTCCGAGTTTCATTCATTTAAAAATGCTTTGAACTCCTGCTACTGGACTGGATATTTTGACTGTTTCCGTCACGTGGTTTTTCGAGATGTCATTCTTTTTTCCGAATCCAAACAGACAGACAAGGCAAAAAATATCAACATCATTCGTATAGCTTCTATAAATTGTATACTTCATCTATACACTTACCATAAGGAAATGTGCTTGTACTTGGTACTGTGGCAGATATTGTTGATACGGTACTCGGTATTGGCGTCTCTGGTGGATAAGTTACCGGTGGGAAGGTCAATATCTACAAAACTGCATTGTGTATAAGACATATATAAAGCGTTGTGTTTTAGAAACAGTGCTAAGAATTGCTAAAATGATGTAGTTTCAAGTGATTTTTCGTGTTCTTGTTGAGCAAACGCGAGGTGTTATTTTGATGGGGGGGAGGGCACATTACGCTTTCATGTGACTTCTGTGCGGTTGGTCATCACGCGACATACTCAGTGGAAGCCTCATAGAAAGCGGTAAGTTTGCAAAGCTGTGTTCAATATGATTGAAATCTTTTGCTTTAGCGTTTTCTTTGTTTGGTTATGAAGGTGTTTAGCCGAATAAATTGCTGTCAACTTGACCTTTCCAGGCTTTCAGGAAGACGAAATCCGCCGAAACGTCAGCTTATTCGTGAATAAAGAATAATAATAACACCTCGCGTTTGCTCAACAAGAATACGAAGAATTATTTGATCAGTGCCGAGGCTAATAGAAAGTTGGTAGTGCGATGTAGTTTTATTTAGAACATACAACGTATGGACTTACCTCCGTGATCCCTGGAGGCGATGTTGTAGTGATTCCCTCGCTATACCCCGGAGGAGCCTGAAATGTGGTTACTACGTTGAAGATCATCAAACCAAGCTAAAATTGAAACATTTAATCTAAAGAAGGTTATATCAGCTAAAATTTAGAAATAACTTCCTTAGAATTTGAAAACATTTAACACCTAGGTTCCTCTTCAGTCTGCTAGTCTTCTTGACCTGGGCAAAACAGTCTAATACAGTTTTCCAATTCCTAGAAGCAGACACGAATTGACTTCCACTCATGTGTTACCGGAAGCAATTGCTTCTCTTAAGCTTAAATATGTACATGTTGACTCATAGTGAATTTTTCCACTTAAAACAAAACCGCTAGGTCCACAGTCCACAGATCATTGTAAATATGATGCATTTTTTGTTTCTCTATAGGGAAGGAAACCTAGCTCATTGAAGCTCACAAAACATTTTATTGCTTTTTTCATTGAGAATTGTATTCCGAAAATGGAAGCAGGTGAACAAGCAGGAAAACGCGATCCATTAACTATCAAGGGTATCTTTACGTTCCTTTCGGTCAGAAACTTCGCTTTTAACAGCTTGAAAACTTCAATCACCAACCAGTGCAAAACACGTTATTAACGTCATTGCAAAATCATGCTTTCTTTTTAAGTAACAGTGCAATATAACTTCAACAGTTCAAATAACTATTCAACTCGTCAAGTGTTAAAGTTATTGCTAAATTATTAGCGGTTTTCGAAAAGACGGCTTCGAACTCGGAGTGTCAATATGAACTCGAAGAAACACATTTAACAAACTTAAGGATGTGTACTACATAGACCTTTCAAGGATAAGTCAGGGCTAGTCACGAAACTCAAACATATTTACTATGTTGGCTTTTCAAGGTTAAGTCAGGCTAATTACTATCTTAGGTATTCCTTCAATAAATAGAAAATCGGTAAAATAATCTGTGAAATGTGGATATGAATTACGTTGTTTACAAGACGACATCAATGCCTCGATATCCTACTATTTTGTCGACGGTGTCCTTTCGTTTGTACTAGCACTTTGAACCGGTTTTAACCGAGCGCTAACGGTTTTATTTTAAAAAACCTGGTTACTACTGACGCAGCTACACTGATACTGTGCCAATGCTGATTCGGAGATTTGGATCATGATACACTGACATTGCCCTGGTCCTTGAGAATATGTCGGCACCTGCAAAGTACTTATCAGTAGAAACGAAAGATAAAGGCTTTGGTATTAATCAGCTACTGAAGGTTGTGCCATGCATCTCATTCCATTCTTAGCTTTATTAAGTAAATGACAGCAAATTTAATCTATCCAAAATAATCTTGCATCAACTCATCGCCCCGAAGGGAAGCAATGGAAGGCCTGGTTGGACCTTGGTCGGAGATAGAAATCGACGGCGAAGTGTGTATAGGAGAATACCCATAACTACTGCGTTATTTGCGTCTGATTCACCTATCGCACCTTATTTTAGGCTAAAATTATCGCCTTTGGTTAAAACGCTTTTAATTCATCATTTTTTTTTCATTTGCGGATTTTTTAAATGGGTTTCTATACTAATAGCCACTTGTGTAACTACAACCCATTAGTCTCATAGTTTTATTACTGAAAAAAGTGTTACAACATGAGGAACGACAAGGAGAACTTACCATAGAAGATCCTGGAGTAGGCGGATAAGTGACTGGAGGCAAAGTGGTTGTCGTGGTAGTGACTGGAGGTAAAGTGGTAGTAGAGGTGGTGATTGGACGCGGAGTAGTAGTGGTGGTGGGCCTCACTGTTGTGGTCGTTGAGGTGCTCTGGATTACAGCAGTATTGACTCAAAGATTGCAAAAGTTTTCAAAGGTGGTTCTTGTTCTGTCGTTCCTTTAAGATCACGAATCTCCCTCATAGAGGGATCTCTTGCCAGTTAATCGCGAGGTACCATGACGCGTTTTCGGGTGTAAAATAGGGCGAGGGACGTTAATCGCAGGCCAAAAGCGACCTTATGCTTATCTGAGACGTAAATGCATCGAAGAAATAGACGCCCTGTTTTTGCTACCCTGATTTTGCTCAACCCTTCGGTGTTTATGTGGGCCTATTCATGCATGGTGAGTGGGTATGTCTTTGTTTATGCAGATTCTGTCCTACATGTCAGTTTGACCGATCACCGCGACTTATAGCGGAGTGGCCTTCAACAAATAATTTCCTCGTCTACTCTGGGAGATACTGGCAAGCTACCCGTGAGCATACTCAGTCCCTATATTGAGACCTCACCAAGCTATGCGTGAGTGCTAAATACAGTGAACTCAGTGGACTCATTCCGCTGACCCCCGAAAGAATTCCCGAGAAGGTAGCGTCGGATAGGCCGAGAACGAAAGGAGAGACATTCTAAGCTGTCTAAATCTCAGAGGACAAAGATGAAAAATCTGTACCTGCAATGCAGAAAGACACGCACCTGAGTCCTCCATTGAAGACCTGATCAGGCGGGCAAAAAAATAGGATATGATGTCATCGGAGTGAATGAAACTAGAAGACGCCACCCGCTCAACGCCGTCTATGACACCGGAGAAGAACCGCTTCTCGGAATAGTAGAGAAGCAGCAGGTGTCGGCGTTTTCCTCTACACGAGTTTGGTCATTAATTTCAAATCATCCGAACACCCAACAACCCAAAAGAGAGGTTAATCAATACCGGCTTTGACAATCTTCATCATCTACGCACCGCAATCTAGCAATGACGAAATCGAAGTCGATGCTTTAAATGTGGACTTGAACAAGTTCTACAGAGAAAAGCGTAATTTCCTTAAGGTTGTCATTGAAGGTTTAAACGTTAAGATTGGACGTAGAAGAATGTCTGTAAAAGGGTACAGGGTAAAAGGGCAAGGTCTGTACATTGGGTCCCATGGAATAGAATGGATCCAGCAGCGTAATTGACTGTACGAGTTTATAATGACAACTGAGGGCATTTATGGTAACTCGCAAATCCAGAAACTCCACTTTCAACGCTGCATGTGGGAGCCTCCCAATGGAGAGTACCATAACAAAATAAACCACATCATAGTAAATTCGAGGTTTTGCGTAAACGACATCGTTGCTGTCTCAAAACTCTACACGGGATCAGAGCAGCGCCTCCTTTCTGAGAAATGTCATTTCTCGCCCTAAGAGGAAAAATCGGCCAAATTCAAAAAACGAGCTGGTATTTATTTATATTATTCGTCGGGTGTTGGGAAGATGCCGTTCCTGATAACATCAATGAGGAATACGATCGGCTCATTCGACATCTTCACGGTAGCACAATGAAAGCTTCGGCCACAAAAAGTTCGGAAATCACCGAAACACTCGAGCTGATACGCCAGCGTGGAATCGCAAGTGCTACAGGCAATCGTTAATTCATGTCCAAACATGCAAAATAGGCGATAAAAAAAGATCTTGAAGAGAGAAATGAAGTACTTATGGTCGAGGCTGCAAAGGCTGGAAAAAGTATTTGCTAAGAATGCCAAAGCTTCGTCAATAACAAAACCCAGACGATTGCACTTCGAAGCTCATACGGAACACTTACAGCTTCCACTCGGATCTCTTCAAAAACCAAAGTCACCTTTCCCTCATATGAAATAAAGCAGTATGTCGTCCATGCCGTTCCACCTGTTCTCCCTTCCGAAATTCGACATGCAGTTTTGTCGGTGACAGGTCCGTACTGGATATGAAGAACCTTCTGCGAGTCCTCATAAACACATTGGTTCGGCCCTTAACACGTTATCTTCACGAATGCAAGGTCTCTAGTCATTGGAAGACCAGCAAGACTGTGCTATTGTTCAACAAGGGTGACCTCCACGATATCGGTATCGATCGCCCAGTCTGCTTGCTGTCTATCGTTTGTAAACTCTTCACTCGAGTCGTTCTGAACAGGATTAACAAAACACAGGTCGAACCAAAGCCATGTGAGGAAGCAATGTCTCGACAACGATTTAGTACGATGGACCATATCAGCGTGGTAAGAAAACCACTGGAGTATCGCGAGAGTACAAGGGACCGCTCTGTCATACTTTCGTCGATTTTGAGAAAGGTTTTGACTCAGTTGATATAGAAGCTATCATGGAAGGTATAAACAGCAAGGACGTCCTTATTGAGTACATTAAGATTTTTTGTGATCTGTGCAAAAATTTCGGGTTCAAAATGGACCACATCCACACGATAACAGGACTCCACTTTCATCGATTTAAAGAAGGCCTTCGACTCCACTGAGATAGAAGCAGTCATGGAAGCCCTTGATAGTCAGGGAGTCCTTACTCAGTCCATAAAGATTCTTCGTTAGCTGTACAAAAATTTCACAACCAAGGTATCACCATTCTTCAACGATATTAACATCGACGTCAAGAGAGGGGTTAGACAAGGCGATACCATCTTGCCAAACTTATTCACTGCCACCTTTCAAAACGTTGCACGAACAGCGATTGGGACCACTTGGGAGTGAAAATCGATGGTCTGCAATTACTCTACCTCCGCTTTATCGATAACATCGTTCCTACAACATTATCCAGGCGGAAAGAATGCTTGCCGACCTTGCTAATGCCGCTTGCAGAAATGTTGATGTTGGACTAAATTCAGTAAAGGCGATGTTAATGAAGAATGGATCGGTCTGGTATAGTCCATTAACGCTCAGCAAAATGTCTCGGAATGCTCCAGCTATGTCTATGTAGGTCGGGAAATCGATATGATGAACGACTTAGTTTCAGAGTTGAGCAGGAGGGAGTGAGTGGATTGCAGAGCTTTAACGAACGTCGAGGATGTAGTAAGAAGAACAAAGAACAATCGAGTTTCCACTATTCTTCCTACCTTAACGTGTGTCACGAACCTGGTCGCCACCTAAGCAAGATGACAGGTCACTAAGCGTTATAGAACGTGCAGTCAAAAGGTCGATGCTAAGAGTAACCCGTTTCACACAAGCAAGGGAACGGATCCGAAGCTACGACCTGCATCGCCGATGAAAATTCAAACACACCCTTTTAAGTACAATGAAAAAAACAGTACGAAAACGATACGGCCAAAATTCGGCAGGAACGTTTCATGACTCGCCGTAGCGAAATATAAAAACAACTTTTTATTTGAGCAAAAAGGGTGTAGCAAAATAGAAGTTAAAAAATGTTGTTTCTTCTATACTACAGTAGTGTTACAATTGTTAATTAGGAAATTTCCAACTGGAAACACACCCATTCTTGTGCGCCTCCACATTGGCATTGATATTGAGGAACTCTGAGGAAAATCACTTGTAAGCATCCACATCTGTAAGAAAAAACTCCATTACAAGAAGTGAAATACAGTTCAGAGCCTTTCAAAGCATTGTTAGGCAGTAACCTTTACTTTAATCGAAGAAAGCGATAGACTCTAAGACTCCTAAAAAGGGAATAAAAGTAATACAAACAGAATATAGAAGATTTCCATTGGTAATACTGTATTTCAATATAGTAAATTATTGCAGCTTGTATGCCTTATAATAAGTATAAGTGGCGTATTATAGCGGCTGTTATTGACTACACTTTCCCAATATCTACCTTTCAATATTGTCATCAGATATTTTCCATATTATATCTGATGATTGCTCACGTTTTAGACATAGTTTTATCTTTTGCTCTGAATATTCCAGATCAGTAGGAGTGAGCTGTATAACTCTTTTTACACGACCCATCTTCACATGATCCGTGTGAGTCCTAGCATGTCTTGCATTTTATTCACATCCATCATCCACCAAGGTTTGCGAACATTTTTCGTATGGGTTCGGCTGCTTCTTGAGGACTGTCATCTTCTCTATGAATATCGTTTAATGCTTGTCGAGTAAATTCTCTTGATAGTTTACGGATAGCAAGACTAGAGCACTTTCACTTGGACTGCAGCGTCTGAACTGCTCACAGGGAAGTCTGCTACCAATTTTCCAACACCGGATGGACGTAGGGTTTGCTGAACCCAAAGCAGGGTCGAACCAGCACGGTGCTCTTGATAAACTATTATTGCGTCGCTGTCATTGCACTACCTGATTCTTTGTATAGCTTTAAGGTCTTGAAAAAGAAGAAGGAAGAGAGCTCATTGCGTTTTCTTTAACTTCACTTCCACGTTAGATAAGCGGACAGGTTTAATCCTTTATGTTCTAAATTTATGATGAACGAAATTTTACGTACCTCGGCTGGCTTTGTTGATACAGTCGTGGATCACGAGGTTGTGGAGTCATATCGGCTTGTTGTAGATAAGTGTCTACTGCCTGGTATGATGAATCGGTCTGAAAGAGCAACTCTTCGGACGAGTTCTCCTCAGAGCTCTTCACATGGATTGAAGCTGTACCGCCAGTTTCGCCAATCTGCGAATTTTCCTAGTAATTCAGAAAACAAAACGGATGACGGACAATTAAATAAAAAACAATACATGCAGGCGAATTTTCAAAAAACTGCTAGAAATTCCTTGTCTTTTCAGATTTCTTTGCAAGTGCTGTAGAGACTCCATAGAAACTGAATAAAGTAGGACGCACTTCTACATGAGTACTTTTCTAATTTTTTTTTACTTTTTTGCAATTTAAAGCCTAAAAGGCCAGAAGTTAGCCGTGACAATATTGTAAGTGAGCAGGTTGGAGTTCTGACTTCGGTGGCGCTTAACGCCAGTTGTTGCAACCCTTCTTTTTTGAAGGCGGTGCTTAAAAATTTGTCCTACTGATGTGGAAAAAGTGAATCTCTTTTATATTTTTTCGGGATGAGCGTTCTTTGAAAAATAAATAAAACGCGGATAAGAAGAGGTAAAAGTTAATATTAGCTAGAGAAAGAAAATTTTCTCTTACATTTCGTTTGCTACCGAACTGTGGTGACTTAGAGCAATTACAGTTCACCGCTCCCACGAGGTTTTTCTGCATACATTGGCATTCCTGTCGTTTTATTCGATTAATTGGCACGTTCTCCAATGCCTTAATCTACACTATTGCTTGGATATCACTTGAGCCAGAAACAGAATCTCTGACTTGACAGTGTCTTGCTTTTTCTCAAGGTAAATGTTAAGCCACTGTGGCTCAATTTTTAAAAAAGCATTTGATATAAATTACCACAAGAAAATTGTTGTTTTTTTTCGAACGCGAACAGCTGTGGACCATCGACTAGGATCATCGTTAGCCGAAAATAAAGAATTTCTATCAATCAAGTGTAGTCTTATCAAAGAAAGAATACATTCTGTGTTGCTTTTATTTGCTTACTTACTTTACATTTTGTTCCGGTGCTTTAATTTAGGATACCTAAAATGGCATTCTAAAATAGCCCAATCATTGCTTGAGCAAATTGACTAGTTCAGCCATTATGCGAAAGCTGGAATACAGTATCACTAGGCGTTAGCGAAGAAAAAGTTTGTGTTAGAAAATAAAAGAACAAGAAGACTTCGAGTTTTCCTACTTACTATTCTCAACATAAATGACATCCAACTTTATGGATAGAAATAGTATAAGCCTGTGAAAAATGTTACACAGGAAAACATCGGTTCGGATGGGAATTTCCACAATTTTTCATATCAATCACAATAATCTTGCTTACCTGAGTAACAAAGAATGACGACAAGCAAAGCAATAGTAGCAATTTGCGCTGCATACCTAAATAGAAGCTGAATCCGAATATTTTCAACTGACAACTGCAAGGCGTTATAATTTATTGGCTTGGGAATGTTATCAAGCGAGAAAACTGGTAAAGGATAAAAAACCAATAAGTTTTTAGAGGTTACGATGGACTGGGTACTGTAATAGGACAACACTAGTCCGGAACGTGGTCAGTTTAAATAGTGCCTTACGAACGAAAGGGGTTGGGCTACACGACAAATGAGACAAAATAAACTAGCTCTCTTCGAAGATATTTTGTAATGTTGAACGACGGAAACGTGTATTACTTCTAAAAATGTGAACAAACAAAAATAAAAAAACATGCAACAATGTTCCTGCAGGTACCTGCACTTTAGAATTTTGCAAGAAAGACAAACGTGGAAAAAAGGAAGGAAAACTAGGTCAAACAGGCTTCAATGGAACATCCTTAGCCACTTTTATTTAAAATTGCCAGGCTACATAATGCAGGAGAAACTGGTAGGGCGAACATTTATGTTCATGTAGAGCGTTTCACCTACTCCGTGAAGTTGAGCCACGTCTTCCTAGCAATTCTAATATGAAATTTGGTGGAAAAATATATCTATTAGAGTCTGAAGTCTTTTTCAAACTACGTTGTAGCAATAGGGTTCGAATACTGAATATTTAAGCATACCGTGAGATGGCCGGCAAAATGTGGGACTCTGACGAAACCAAGGAACTTCAATACTTTTCCTTTTTTCAACTTTCGAAATATAATTTAATAGTAGACAAATACTAGTTGTTTAGTTGTCTTTATTCATTATCTACAGTCACTATAAATGTCCATCACTTGGTCGCCAATAAATTCCTTTCGTCCCTGTCGCGTCTCAGTGCCTTAATGGGCCACGTCTGCTCAGAAGCTCGAAAGCGACAAACTTTCAATATGATACACTCATTTCACTGATTCGGAAGATAGGGTAGCTATGGAGTGCTCTAGCGCTCTGACATGACATTGCTATTGCTCAAGAGAATCCTGTAATAAAATCACATTGATGCTAAGATATCAGCACATTTTGGTCTCCAGGGCAGATTCGAATCCGCAATTATTCTTTTAGGGGCTCACTTGTTACCTATTACCTATTGAGGTAGGAAACGTTATCGTAGAAAATAGGTTCGAGAGAAAGGGAAAACAATTGCCTCAGTTGTCATCATAATTGCTGAATCTCGCAAAATTACCAACTCGGCATTTTAGCTATTCTTCTTTGTCACCTCTCAAAGAGCTATCGTCTTAGAATTAACATTACCGCTTTATTTCTATTATCAAGAAGTGATTTTGTCATATTCCGTTTTTAATGAAATACACTATACACTACGCTTGAGCACTCGTTTGACTCAAGAGGGAAAATTTTTACTAAACTTATATAAAACGAAGAAAAGCTGCTGGAAAATTCAGAAACCTTCCAAGTCACTTATTCACTAGACTTTATACAGTAATACAATATCCGTATACAGGACAAACTCTCAAGGTTAGTTAGTCACTGTGGAATGTGTCATGCATTCGACATCATCAACTATCGCTATAGGTGAATGAATGCAAATCTGACCGTATGTGACAAAGGCTTGCGATGCCGTGCCGATGTGTGAAGTCACTGTCTTTATCCTCTCAGGCAAGTTCTGTGTCAATTTCCTAACGCAGGTGGAATGGGTGTTTGATGGGCCGGTACGCGGGGTCGAACCAGAGGCCACGTAGGTATCGCAAGGTACTTCTAATTGTTGCCTTACCCGCGTTCACAATATGCACACATAAATGTATATATATTCAAATAGCCAAAACAGGAAATCTTGAGCGACTCGTTTATGATGACGTCTTCATCAATATGTTAAATTTAGGACTTTGTCTATTGGATTTTTACATACAATGGATTCAAACTTTACGTTTTAATGACATTTCTACACAAGGTTTTGACTACCTGTTCTATAAAAGTTTTTCAACTTTGCATTTTATCTGAAATCTAGTATCCCGTGTGGGGCCTTCGTTCATCATTGAGTAGTGATTTAAGCGAAAAATGCTAGTCATAGTAGAAAATATGCTAGAAGTTGAGAGATCACATCTATGGAGCAGTAAAATGCTAAGGGATGAGCATGGATCATGATGCAATATTCCCCATTTGTGAAGCTGCTTGTGTATTCATTTATGCATGTTTTTTCAAAGCTTGTTCTCAAACCAAAAGAACTGATAAATTGATAGCATAACATTGTCAAGTTTGATATGCCCGTCTTCTGGCAAAGTTTTGAACCTTGCATTAAACAAAGCGCCCACGTGGGAAGAAACATGGGCAAGTGTCTCCAATGGTTGAGGAAGTTTTTGCGATTCGGTTCCACGAATTTGTTCCACTTGAGCGTTTCATTTCTGACAGCGTATTTAGTCGTTCGGAATGCTATGCAGAGGCCGTCGCCTTATTATAATTCGTCATTCGGAACAATATTTGATGATAAATTATTTCCTTTAGTTTCACTATCCTCTAGGAATCTATTTAGTGGACCTAATGCTTTCAACAAAGATAATGTTTTAATGTCTCTTCTTTTTCGTGAAGCGTTTCAGTTCAATCGATTCGATATAATTCCTAAGAGACGCATGTTGCAGATGACTCTAACTGATTGTTACAAAAATCTAAATACAATCTAAACTCTAAATTGATACAAGTTCAGAAACTAAATTAAGTTCGGAAAATCCTACGGCATAGCAAGTCGTCTCGTCGAAATTTTTTCTAATCGTATTTTATCATTTCCTTTTGGTTAGTAAGTTCTATGATTCAATACCAATGCACTTTTGCTGCCAATGCTCAGCTTATTCACTCAGGTTCTTTTTTTGAGAAAAGTGATTTTTTCTCTATTCTTTCATTTTTTTTATTTCTGAGGTGATGGTTTCCACATCTTTTGCTATTTCAGCCAATCATAGTTTATTTCAAACGCCTTAGCTCTGACATTAATCGTAAGAAAAAAGGAATGTCGACTTCTGCTTCCATATTGGTGACGGAAATCCAGTTACTCTGTGAAATCTTTCCAATTTTAGTCGTTGATTAGAGATAAACTAAGTTTAGTGATTCCTCCGCCACAAAGGAGGGATAGGGGTACCATTTAAAATAAGCGAATATTGACCTATTTAGTATAGAAAGGAAGTTATCATAAATTAGGCTGGGTTTATGGTTTTACTCAGCCTTTTTAAAAATTTCACTGCGCATCCTACCACTTAGAGTATTAAAAGATAAAGATAAAAGAAACGCTTACGGCTTATCCCAAGATACGTCTAGGCCTTATTCCATGTTTGTCTTTTGTTTTTTGATAAAGTGCCGTAGACTTGAAGTTACTCTCCCTTTGCTATATGGATTCACATAAGCCCTTTCTTCCTACTCTATTAAATTTAGTATGCTTGTAGATGTTACTAAATGTTAGTGGTTAAGGTAAAAATTTAAGAACAATGTCATGCCGATGAGAAAATTTCATTCATTCATTCAATGCCATTATATTCAGTTGGTAAAAACACTTTAAGAGACTGGATCCGTTCATTCAACTCGACTCGGTCCGGCTCGTTTCACCTAGTGGTGGTGTGCATTGAAACCAGACGCCTCCATTCATGTCTTCATTCCATGTGCACACAGCACTCTTATTGAGAAAACAATGTCGAGCCACACTCTCAAACACAATGTGTCTCGTTGTTGTCCCGTATGAGGTGGGATTTCCATGTATGTTGGTAAATATGAAGTGTACTCTACCAGAAAACAAAAATCAATTCCGCATCTTTTGGTATTCTGTTTGTCAAAAACCGTGTGATGAGCTTTTCACAGAATTCTCATATCCTGGCAAGCGCTACCGACCACTATGGGGCTAATAGGATGAATACATCCCCAAAAGGATACTGTGCAATATGAATTTCCTATGGAACACTTTCTTTGAAGGCTTGAGAATCTTTTGTGATACTGAACAATTGGAATTTATGTAAAAATTCTCCGGTGAAGGCGAAAGGTGCACTATATTATGTCGTATTCAAAGTGTAAATCGGTCATGGAAGCTTTGTATATCCAAGGTGGATCGCTTACTCGGTACACAAAGGTTTTGTCTAGGCTACATAACAGCTTCATAACTAGAATCTCACCATTCTACAATGACATTGTTATCGACGTAAAGAGAGAGGTTCAACAAGGCGATACCATCTTGTCAAATTTATTTACAACCAGTTTTGATGACTCATTGCGGAAAACACGAACGGGATAACATTTGAGCGAAAGTCGATGGCCATCTGCGATTTCTTCGCTTTCATGATGACATCATTTTTATGACATCGAGTATTATCCAGTTGCAACGAATACTGCCGGATTTCAGCTGCGTTTGTGAAAAATTGGCTTGCGATTGAATCTCAATAAAGTGACGTGAATGAGAAACGGATTCGTTTGTGGTACCGCATACAGCCTCAACCGAATGGTTATGTACGGACAATTATGCTATATGCACCTTATTCGAAAAGTCAATTTACCGAGAGAAGCGAATTAGTTCCAGGTTGAGCAGCTGAACAGAATAACTCGAAGACTTGAAAAAACATTGAGCATATAGTGAGAACGTAAAAAAGTAACCGGTTTCGTGCATGCAATTTCCACTCTGCAGTTCTTCCTGCGTTAACGTATGTCTCGAAAATCTGGGTGCTACGTGAACAGAATTATTCGG